CCCCAAAACCCCAAAACCCCAAATGGCTATAATAGTTTAAATTAGGCTAGGAAAGTAGTAGAAATAAGAAGATATGTATTTGTAAATAGTTAAATTTAATTTGAAGCAATATCGAGATTGATTCCTAAATGCAATCTAAAGTATCAAGAATAGTATGCATTGGAGGTGGACATTGCAATGTTCAAGTGATGAAAATGCTTAAGCAGGTAATGCCTGGGAGTGCTAAGATGACTCTTTTGACAGAAGCTCCAAATGCTTACTACTCTGGAATGCTTCCCGGAGCTATTTCTCGTAAGAAATATTGAGACTATTTCCTCTATTAATACTTTTTTTAGATCTATACAAAGATGAAGACATCTAAATTCAATTAAAACCTCTTGCTCATTGGTGCAAGGCTGATTACATTGAAAGAAGAGTTCATGCTATTAATGCTAATGAGAACAGAATCATTCTCGAGGGTGATGGAGAGGTCTAATATGACTATCTTGCCGTGAATGTCGGTTCAAGAACCAGGGGTGCAAATGAGACTAAAGGAGTAAAAGAACACTCTTTATCCACTAGACCGATTAATGATCTACTTGGAAAAATTGAACATAAAGAAGCTCAGCTAATCCGAGATAACATTATCCCTGAGGTTGTTGTTTGTGGTGGAGGAGCTGCTGGTATTGAAATGGCATTTGGCTTTAAGAGAAGATGGTCTGATCTTTTTAAACAAGAAATCCACGTCTCCATTATCTCTGCTGATCCGACAGTACTTTATGGCTCAGATGAATCCTTAAGAACTGAGATTAACAGAAAATTCAAAGAAAAAAATATTGATCTCTATATAAACGGGAAGGTATAAGAGATTAACGAAAATTGTGTAATTTTGGCTGATGGAAGAGTGATTCCTTGTAATGTCGCTGTTTGGGCTACAGGTGCGGAACCTCAAAAAATGATTGGCAGATCAAACTTAGACATCCTGAATGGGTACATTAGAGTTAATGATAATATGCAGTCTACTTCTCACCCAAATATATTTGGAGGAGGTGATTGTGTGACAATGCAAACTTTTGCTGAAAAAAGATTCCCTCCCAAAGCAGGAGTTTATGCAGTGAGAGCTGGTCCTTATATAGCTTAAAATTTAGCAAATTCTATTAACGGAGTCCCTTTAACAACTTATGTCCCGTAATCTGGATTTCTTGCCTTATTAATGACAGGAGACGGTAAAGCAATTGGAAGTAAGTTTGGAATAGCATTTGCTGGCAAGTGGGTTTGGAATATGAAAGACTACATCGATAGAAGCTTCATGAAACTATTTAATCCCAATTATCTCTTCAAAGATTTCTAGACAAGAGGATATGAAGAGCCATTAGAAAACAATGAGCTCTTTGAGAATGAGAAGTCAGATGAAAAATAGGTTACAGATAAAATAAGGGAAAGAATTAATGCCTTAAATTCAAAGGACAGCGCAGTCACTTTGTTAGCTGGTGAAGATCATGAAGAGTTCTTTGAGCAATTATTCGTTTTAGATAGAATGGCTAGAGATGAGCATTTCTGCAATGAAGTTGTCGACAATTTTAGATAACTCAAAAATAAATGAATTTAAATTATGACTGTTTTATATTTTTTTTCTGTCTATCATTAAATATTTCTTTTTGACGGGGTTTTGGGGTTTTGGGGTTTTGGGG